CCCTCGCCCCCCCCCCCCCCCCAAATGCTGAATACACAAAACCTCTCAGAATAGTAACTGTCGGCCCAGACGCTGGCGCTTTGTTTACTTCCTCCTCTCTCTCGCCTTCTTCTCATGAGACCTGTCTTTTTTTTTTTTTTTTTTTATCTCTCCCTGATTTCTCTCACACTTAAAATCCGCACACGTTTACTATGAGCGTTGAATGAGCTATTACCGAAGGCGCAAAGTCATTTAATGGGGTATGAAGTGACTTCTCGCCTCCTGGTTTTGATTACCGGGATTCCCCTGAGACTGTGCCATGCACTGTAACTGTGTGCGTTGCAGATTTGCCATTCTGCTCTGCTGCTCATGCACATATATGACAAAAAGCCAGAAACTTGATCAACACATTTGTAGTGCTATTAAGCATCACTAAAAAAAATAAATAAATAAAAAAAAATATGTGAATACTTCAGCACCACTGAGGCACTAAACCTACTTTTAGGCTATGGTCTCAAAAACCAGACATATTAGCTTTTTCAGATATGATTTGTAATAGCATGAGAGAAAATTCAGCCTTACGTAAATGAAGTAATTAACCGATTTCCTGAAGAAAGATTAACCTCCAACAATGCAAGTTTTAACTGTAAATGAATGCTGTCTGTCAGTGGAGACGTATGGATTACGCCACTAACTGAACAAGGAGTTAGCGATAGGAACAATTCACCCAATAGTCCAAAATAAAACTAATTTGCATGACTCCTCTACAGTGTCTTACTTTTTAAAGAAACTGCACTTTTCATTTCCTGTAGTTCAGACGTGCACCGTTGTCGTGAAGAGAAAAAGCCTAGACATTTTTTTCCCAAATCCACCACATCCTGGGCTTTTCATAATTACCTGCAGGTTTTTCATTAGGTCAGTGCTGTATGCGAATACAACAAATGAGGACTGCAATAGACATACATCAGTAGGATCAGTAGGCAGGCAGGTACAAAAGATGACATAATAGACAACCTGGCAGCATTCAAGTGGAAGTAGACCTGTATATATACTAGTGATCTAATGAGGGGATTGGGAACAGGTGAGCAGGTGGGCGTGGATGAATCAGGTGACTTGAAAAGGCGGGAAGGGATGGGGTTACTCCAGGGCAGGGGATAGTGGTCGGCTGAAAGAAACACTTCTTCTTCTTGTGGGCATTAAAGTTGTATGAGACACAACAGTATGTCCTGACAATTTCACGCTCAGATTTCAGTCCTCTCTGAAGTGCACGTCGGAGGATTTTTGGTTGTAAGACACACATATTGCAGCCTGGTGGTCGTATTATATCTGTTAAGGAGAAATCCCTCGTGTATTCCACAGTGCAGCTCTGGAACATTTGATGTGGGGAAATCCGCAATTAAGACCAGTGAACAATCATGTCATGGTAATGCACTTCTCATTTTATTTAGATCCTAGAAAAAAAAAAAAAAAAAAAAAAAAAGCAAATAAGAATATCCAGATCAAAAACATGTGTTGGTAGAACAATAAGTTAAACACAAGAAGAGGATTTGTGTCAAAGGAATCATTTAAAGACACAGGCTATGCAAAGGCAATGTGAGTGACATGTTATACATATATGTTAAAGCAATCACAATAAAACAAATATGTACAATACCAAAGAAACAATGTGGTAGCAATATAATTTTCACATAATTTACAAGATAACTAGTACAGATGGCATACCAGAAGCTACGCAACATTGTTGATGAAAAAAAAAAAAAAAGATGGATATGAGCACTGCAAAATTCATTTTCTCATTCTCATCTCAAATGAAAAAAAGTAGTTTTTGTTAGAAACAGTTTTAAAATTAAGAACAAAATCACTCTTCTCCACCCAGTTCACTTCACTATTCACAATAAGCCAAGAAAGATGGCCCCCATATTGCAGTCATAATGGCACGTTTCTTTCTTCTCGCAGAAAGAAAGTCTGTCAAGAGAAGAAAATACATGCCGTGCCCTCATTTCTCTTTCTCTCCCCATTTCCGTAATCACTCCCCATCCGCCCCTCTCTCAGAGGAAATGTAGAAATATATTTCATTTGTTTCACAGACTTGGCTGTGACCAGGAATCTGAATTCATAGTAGGAAAGGAATAAAACTACGCATACTTCCAACTTCTGTCTTTTTCTGTCTTCCAAAGAGGAGCTGAAATGTATCTATGTAGTGGGTCTAAAAATCTAAACAAAGTGAATATTACTCCCACATGTTGGAGACTGGGGAGTCCCAGTTTCTGAATTTCCAACAGTTTTCTATGGCCGTATCTCCTGTCTCAGATGCACGTGACCATTTTTTATAAGTTGTCATGAGGGGCAGAGAGTGCACTGGTGTTAACCTGGAGTGTTTTTAATAAACACTTCCAGTGAACTCTGTGCTCTTGTCTGTATGAACTTGAATTCTTCAGTGTGAGAGTTGAAATTCCTCTCTCAGTCAGGTGCATGAGCCAGAAGCACTTCATCTTCCTTGTTCAAAATGTCACCTTTGCATGCATTCACTGCAGTGGATGAAGTTATTTCACTGTTAAAGCCTTGTTTTTTGTTTTTTTTTTGTATAAATTGAGGTTGTGACCAGATCTGGGAGAAATTCTTTAAACGGATCCTCACCAAGTTCTAGAGTTTCTCACAGAGCTTTGAGGATGCCTCCTGCAGGGATCTGTTTACATGTCAGAAGGTGGTGCTTGCATAGCTGCAAATGGAGGCTTTGACTATAGGTTATAGTTCAGTAAAACCACACCCCAACTCATACTGATGCACATTCCAGAAACTCACAATTATATCTGTACCTGATCTGCTTATAATGACTTATTGTTTCACTTAAAAGACAAGTGAGCATAAAAAAGTGGCAATCAAAGAGAGATGTTTCCCAGTTTTGTAACACAGAAAGTCCCAAAAAAGTCCAAAAGGTAAACTGCATACATGGAGTAAACTGCAACAGAAGTATAATGTGTAACTGTAACATAGTTAAAAAGACACATAAACCTTTAAACCCATTAACCAAAACATAAACAATATATAACCATACCTTAGATGACTTTGAAAGACACAGACAATCGATGTTATAATGGGTAAATGCAAGATCAGTCCGAAGGAGGAAAAACCACAAACTCGTCTGCACTGTTCATCACAGCAAACAAACCGATCAGCTCCAAAATACATCTCTTGTGGTAATGCATATCACACACACATTAGTGTTCTAGGATTAAGGCTTGTGGGAGGGTTGTCATTGGACATTGGATGATATGCAGATTGTTAGCTGGCTGCTGGTGAAGTCATTTCACACATGTCATTCCATTTTCCTCATTTTCTCTTCGTCATCTTTGCATCTGTTTTGTTTTTGGTTTATTGGAATACTCTGGTAATACACTGTGTGCTTGTGTTGTGGATATGAACTTCCATATGAACACCCACTCTGCTAATATGACCTTAACTGGTCGTCTTCTATCTAGGATTCAATGTGAACACATTGATTGAGAGATGAGGGCTGTCAGATTAGGACATAGCAAACAATGTCGGGTTTTATATGAGTTGAACTTTTGGGATACTCTTCAGACCCAAGCCTTATTCTCAACATATTTCAATATGCCCAATATACATAGCATTTATTAGGTCTGTCAGTGTAGAAATGCTGATATGGGATCACTAAAACACAAATGTTATAGGACTCTCCCAAAGACAAAACTGATCCAAGATCTACATTCCTGCTCGACAGACCCTGATAAATGTAGGCTAGGATACTCAGTAGCCCCGTTCTCCCATATTTTGGTCTCCCAGTTATATTACACTATGACCAGCTCCATCTCCATCTCAGACTAGCTCCACCTTGGAGTTGGGGTACACCGCAACAACGTCGTAGCCCTCAGGGGGCTGGACGCGTGCCTTGGCGTGGGTCTCACAGTACAGATTGTCCTCGATGAAAAAGTAGCCTCTCTGCTTGAGGTTGACGCCGCAGTCGTCGCACATGAAGCACTCGGGGTGGTAGAGCTTGTCCCTGGCCTTCACGATGGTGCCACTGGATGGAGACATGAGCGGAGACGGAGAGTGTTAAGACTTCTGGATACTTTAAAGTTATGGTACATGTAGGCTACTGTATGTAGGCTAACCCATTTCGAAAACAGAGGATGACTGCTACAACAATCCAGCAAGAGAAAGAGAGATACAGATGGATGTTTTGCCTTTTCCCCTAGAATTCCAAACACCGCCTCATAATTAGCCTGATCAGTCCTGCTTAGTGTTGTTCACAAGCTACAGACCAGAGTTTAACTAACTCAGTTACATCTGGTCCACCATCTTGATTCCCAATCAAATTAACGAGCAACACCTGGTTCCAAATTGCTCCCTGGTGACTGAAAACAAACACAGGACAAACTGAAACATGAAAATATTCCATGTACTGACTGAGACTTTTCATCTTCTCTTCTAGACTGCTATTCCTGGGTGTATGTTTATGTTTCTTGTTTATGGTTCTTCATCCATTAAAGCCATTATATTAACACTTATTTTGTGACTATAGCTCTCTGTCCGTCAGCCTTTTCCTCAACATCCAGCTTGAGGGTGATGATGGAGTTTAGTGTTGACCAGTTTTCTAGTTCTTCCCTTTTCTGGCTTCTGGGGCATGTGTTCAGCTGGGCCCAAAGTATTTTCCAGTGTGAGTGTTGAGCATTTTTATTTACAGTGCACAGGAAGTAGCCTTATGTCCAGTGTATTGGAAAAGCTAAACAAAAATAGCTGAACATCACAGGGTTGTGCTACTGAGAAGGATGAAAATGGATAAATGCATAATAGGAAAATGATGCCTTGACGAGCCAACTGCAAAAATGCAGAGCGCCTTAAAAGGCTGACTGCATCACCATCATCGCAGAGCACAGAACATTAAGCAGAACACTTTAAAAGGAAGTAAGTAAGGATGACTTGCTATTGACTGACTCACAGTTGTTTACTGAATTTCCCCATTATCTATGCAAATAAATGATTATCGTTCTTTATAGCAACAGTAACCGAGCAAGCATTTGAATATATCTCATTATATGACATTGTATGATAAGGGAGGTTTTCAAAAAAGGTCACACATATTCATACTGTCACACCTGGGAGCTGAATAGTACATGTTTATTCTGCTAATTGGCCACTGATCAGCGCTAGTTCCTTTTAGAAGTTCACTGCTTTACTCAGTCGCACAGTGACGCCAGTTGTTAAGGGCGTTGTTCATTCACTGCTCCCAGTAAGATTTTCCTTTGTGGGGATTCGGGCCAGCGAGCATTCAGTCATAAGCCCGCTTCTTTTTTTAACTGCTTTCCCCATCTAACCACACCACTCGCAGGATAAACTCTTGACACAGTGTTCTATACTTGTTTAAAAAGCTGTAAAATGCTGCCAGGTCATAACAGCCTTATTATGCCATGTGAGCGCCTACAATGCACTCTTGTTCATGAGTAAAGTAAGCCCATGACATCACTGCTTACCTGCAGCTGCTTTTATAGAGGGGGGGGATTACCGGTGCATGTGGTTTTCTTTGGCAGAAAGGTGCGTGCATGTGCATGCACTTTAATGCTTGGCGTAAGTTTGTGTACATGCACCGACGTGCGCGATTACGAATACGTGTGTATACAGCATGTGTGCGTGGGAAAGGGTGCGGAGGATGGCTTGGTTTAATCATTAAAATGATAAATGGGAGTAGATTTTACTGAGTACTTGTGAAAGGCTTGTTGGTGCACGAGTTAACCTCTTTGTTTCAGGGAAGAATCTTAACTCACCTCACGTAGTTTTTATATCTACAAGCACCATGAGAAAACAAGTGGGAGAAATATTCTTCCCAGATCGTGATTAAAGCTGCTTTAACAGAATAAGATAAGACAAATAAGATAAGATTAATCATTCAAATTTTCAGTAACATATTAACTGTATCTTTTTCACCTTAGTTTTGGAATGAAAAACTAGGATCTGTACTGTAATACTTACACAATGCCATTACAGCAGCGTGTGCACTGGGGTAGCTTCTGTAGACCAGACATGGGGCTGGGGATGGGGCTTCCCAGTTTGGGGATTGGAGACCTGACTGGAGACTTTAAGTTTCTCATTCTCTCTGTTGGGGACACACCTAGAAAAAAACAAGATGACAACAGAATAAATATAGTAGCTGTGAACACTGGACATACCGTGTGTGCGTGTTTGTGTATGTTTTCAAGGGCCACTCATCCCACACTTCCTTGTACTGTCCATCTGGTATTTCAGGGGGAAAAGCCACACAGATCCATGTGTATTTGTGTTTGTGGTTGCACACTGCAGGAAATACCCTTTGAGTTCCAGGTAGTAAGACTAGAGCGTGGTGATTTCCAGGTCTGTAGTAGGCTGGTAAGTGATACAAAGACGGATAAATATTTCTCAGAACACCTTCAAAGGAGGCATCATGGGTCAGTTTCTGTTCCCCACAGAGCTGCTTCTCACTATTTCTGTCCCCCCCCCGCAGAGCTCGTTGGGCAACACACACAACTATTATCTTGCATATTATCTGTCTTGTGTTTTTTTTTTTTTTTGATAGATGACTTTTCCAACAGTTTTGGCAGAATATAAACAATATGACAAGTCAAAACCTGCAGCACCTGTGTTACCACTTCTGTTCTCATACATCTAGCTAAAAATAAAGCAGTCTAACACAACAGTCCCACAATAAATGCTGCCTTCCATGAAGGTTGTATTGTTCAGTTTTTATTGAAAGTCATATAGAGAGGCGTTGATTCAACTTTATGATCATTTTAGGGGATGCAATTTGAGGTGCTGTTGCATTATACAGAGAGGTGTTTCTGTTATTTTGCTGACCCTCAATGATATAAATGGGGTGGGAAAAATAATAGAAGCTCTGGCTACCTGTCAGATTTATTGCAGGACTGTTGAAGCTCTACCACTACCCCATACTTGCAAGACTTTGGACATTTTGGACTTAAAACAGCTTTTGCAGAACAACTGCCCAGCTTAGCACCCTTGCAACCACACAGAACACATTAGCAAAGAAAAGAAAAGAAAAAAAAAATCCTTATGTCCTAACAACACCTTGGCACACCTAGCAACCACTTCACAACCCTCACAACCATAAAAAGCACACTAAAAACTGACAATACAATGACAAACACTCAGATCCCCGTAGTCATCTTGCAAAAAAAAAAAAAACACCACCACGATGACTTTACTGCTGTGTCATGCTCCAGACAACTTGGTAGCCTCCATTGTCTGCCACTGGTAAATGTTAGTGTTTTGTTCATGTAACCTAAGGTCACATTTATCATTAACCTTGTGGCCTGCTTTCACAAACAGGACGTTGCCACTTGTGCACTTCCTCAGCCACTTGCATTGCATTTTTCTACATTCTGAAGAGGTTTACTCATTAGCTTTTTGTATTCCATGAAGTACAACCCAATGGCCAAAAACAGGTCATCAGTTTTCCCGGAGATGGAGATTTTGTTATTCACCAGTATTACAATAATCTCTCAGAATGAATGTGCTAATGGTTCATTGATGTGAACATGCTAAACATTGGCACCTCTAAGTGTTGTCTTAGCCACAGAATCAAAGGTCAGCGTTATCTCGTAGGACTGTATTTGTCTTTTCTTGTTCGCCTGCCCCTCTCTCTGACCTCTCTGTGTCTCTCGCTCATTCCTGTCCACTCCATTCAAGTGTCCCAAGTCTATAGTGGCATTTCCTTGTACAAATTCATCAGTCAACCTGCCTAGAAAGCTGGCAGGGAAAACATCCCATGTTACTCAGAGTCCAGCTTTAACCATCACACCAGCGTGCTACAATCACACGATATCTGTGAACGACACGAGGAGGTCATCTGACATTCATTTTAACTGGCAAAACTGTTACATACAGCTTCTTTGTTCATTCAAATATCTGGTAAAATACTAAAGGAAATGACACACCTCAAACTTAACACAAATCTCAAATTTTTAGCCATAAGGACAAAGTCTGTCTGGAACTACGTGAGAAAAAAAAGTGTATATTCAGTATATAATGCTCATTTATTTTGCTACAGTAATGCCCGGGATTGGTTATGATGGCTGCTGCCTTCCCACGGATAACATTTTTTATTAAGCACGATCATCTCCAAGCATCAAGCATTTAGTTATGCCTGGCTGGAATGCATGAAAGGGGCATATTTAATACTGGTTATGCGGAGCTGCTCCAGTGCACCAGGGCAGATCAGTGGGGCACAGCTGGGAACTGCAGTGTACAACTTCCCTTCACTGATGATGTGCCAGGAGAGGCTATTCAGACCAACAGACCACCTATCACTGCCACTAACCATAGTCTAATTACCTTGCACCTGGCACCTGACTCAAAGGACTTTCAGTCTCTCAGTAACAGTTAGCCTCTGACTGCTCCGCGGTGTGTTTAAGAGCTGACATTAGCTAGGCATGTTATTCCTGGGATTAATGTGTCCGTTACCTGCTGATGCACTCTAATGGAAAACCTTTTTACGTGCATGACTCTTGTGACTTTTTCACAAAGGGGAAAGTTGACTAATAAAAGTCTTCAGAGTCATGAATGAAAGAAAAAAAAAAAAAGAAGCAGGATGAAAGAGCGCTTGTTTAGTCTTGCTTCTACATTTTAAATAGCCAGACTACTTAGGACCCCTACATTTTGTTGCCAGCTGCAGACAGACACCATATTTTATTTGACAGACAGTGACAAGTTGGCAGATTACAACACATATCTCACCCCACGCAACATTCATAGCGCTCAAGTGTGTCCCACACTGTGACTAATACCTACCAGGCATATTGTTAAATCGGACACACACTCATGTTAGGGCCCATCTGACTCAAACCTGTCAAGTGCAGAGTTGGAAGCCTGATGGGGAATTCAAGGCAAACCGAATCACAATATCAAAAGATAAATAAACAGCTGTAATGAAATACGTTTATACAGCTGTTGCGGGATATTGTTGCATCTACAACTTTTCAAGGAAGCCAGAAAAAAAAAAGAGTCTTGATTTGTCCCTGACCATATGTACTGCAGGTTTCAATTCATGCAAGAGTTTTAAAAAGGGTTTTTAGAAAGAAATATAATTGGAAAAAGGATCAGACATGTGTTGGAAAGATACATTTATAATATCTTGGGCCACACATGCAATCAGAGAGAAAAAGCATTACCAGGAGGGAAAGAAAAATATAGGAAAATATGGTAGAAAATGCTGACATGATAATCACTGACAATGACTTATCATAAAATAAAACCAAATCATTCTTTGTTGCAGTTTCCTGACTAAATTTTTTATTTTTTTTCTTTTGTTTGTTTTATATCACTGTTGAAGGGTTAACCCCCACACCAGTGAAATCCCATGTGTACTCCCACTGGACCATAAAATCTAAGCGGGTCTTTAAATCTTGAATCTTTTCAGGTCTGTCCTGATCTGGTGGAATAACTATCTGAATGGAATGTTCCCTCTCCTTTTCGTCTGAACTTTCCTTTCAACATCCACAATTATATTTCTTGGGAGTGGGTTTAAAGGGGAACATCACTGAGGTGATGTTCATCTCCATCACTTCACCTACCTGAGAATTCTAATCATGTTCAAGCTGGTTCATTTAACTTCCCACATGGTTCATCTGACAAAGTGACCTAAAAGTAACAGATCTCACTAAATGTGAGCGTTACACTTCAAAATCCAGGAGGCAGTCAATAATCAGACAAGTGTTATACTTTGAAAGTATAACATTTCCTTCTCTGCGGAGATGCTGATGGATGTCTGAATTCACAGAGGTCGTATTCTGAGAAAGGACACAGCCTGCTTCCCTCCTGAGCGCTTTCTTTTTGTGGCCATTATTCATCACTGTTGTGACGAGCTGTCTACTGAAAAAATACCCCCAGCAGCTGATGGAAAGTCGTTTTTTGCTGGAAATAAACATGAGGTGGAAAATATGATATTTTTTAGAGCTTAATAACTTTGGAGTTCGGGGAAGGCATGAGGTCTCAGAGAGGTCTCTGGCACTAATGTTTATTTCTTTTTCCAACTGTTCGTTCATCATGTCGTCTTATGTCTGTCTTCCCCTCAAATTTTCATTAATGATGGTGGAAATTATAAAGTGTTTGATTAAGTAATTTGATTTCCCTGCACTTCTCAAAAACTTCTTTAAAACATACAGAAATTGTGCTGTTTATGAGTAAAAGCTGGCTTGTTAGCATATAACTAAGTAGCCCTAACATGTTATGGAAAAGACAGACCTTATACTGGAACAATCGGTTCAACTTTCTATAATCCATCCTTCTGGGTGATATTGCTTTAAACACCCTGATTTAACACCAGTATTTAACAGCCACTATCGCTATCCAATCACGGTGGAGCCTGTGGAATTCTGGGTAAACTGACACTCTTGTTTGCTTTAACTTTAAAAGCCCCTGAAAGTCAACATGGCCTCTACAGGGGACTCCTTCAAAAGGAGGACCAGCTATGGTTGATTTAAAAGCCTGACAGCAAAGTATGCATCTGAAAACAGGATGATTTTACTTTAACCCGAGTGCTACTTTTGTTCGGCTGTTAATTTGACTTGTTTCTTCTCTGCCGTGCGATTAAAAAGCAACAACCGAAGACACCTCAGACAGGATTTCATAGTCTCACACAGCTCCAGACACGAACGCAGAGACAGGTAGCTTTTAAAATGATCCCAATCTAAACCCGAGGTTCGTCACGTTTGTTTCTTCTGGGACTTAGCCTGTCAATCAATCTGTCAGTCTCCCAAGCTGAAAGACCACTGACAGCAGACAAACAGTTTCCTTTTAATCTCTTTAATCCATCAGCAGTGCTACTTACTCTCCCTCCCTCCCTCCAACCCCCTTTGTCTGTCATTGGCATCTTTTTTTTTTAACTCTCCCACCCTCTCGTTGCTTTGAGTGTAATATTGAGCACTAAATTAAGTCTGAAACGGTCTGGCAGCGCTCCAGGCTGCACCGCAGGAGCAGTCAGCGCTGTTCCTTGTGCTGTGGATTACCCTGTCGGTTCTCACATCAAAGGCTGAACCAGAGGTGTGATAACTTAGAGGGAAGTTTTCACTCTTGCCCAGGGACAGTGATGTTCTTACAGGGAGAGAAAATCAGTCACCGCGTTGTTCTAAAATACGAGATATTGAAGAATCAACACTGTTATCTGGTCCTTTAAATACACAAATATATAATAATCATTAAATATGTCAGGGTTACATGACAGATATCAAAGATGTAACACACAGCATATGTTACTGGTGCTATTATTCTGGGTTTAAGAGAAAAGATATAGATTTATTTTCTGTTTCTGTGTCATACACTGTCAAAAAGTAAAAATCCATATGACTGTCTCTCATAAATAAAGAGTCCTACAGTCCTCTCCAGTGCTGATGCACGGGTTGCGAGTAGAGTGTTTCTTTTGAGTTCAAAGAAATTAAAGCGAGAGAAAATGATCTCAAGCTGCAAGGCGCAGTTTGCATGCTACAAACTGTGTGAAACAGGCCCCAGGAGGACACATTAACTACGAGTTTTTGTTGTTTTGTTGAATGAAAATATTCAGATTACGACCATGTATTAGCCACGATTAAATCTTCAAACAAAAACATCTGCAGCAGTACTGGCATCCAAAACACCACATCAGTCAACATCAGTATGTAAACTCTCTCAGAGCAGGTAAATCTTCGGATGGGGGTTCTCCCATCTAAGTGAGAATTAAGAGTTCACATAGATGACTGTGTGACAAAATACAAACATTACAATACATTAAAACCATTATATATGTATGGGAATAGTTACCGAGCGTACATGCTGACTTTGACACTGCAGGTTCATACAGTCACAGCTGTTAACACTCCAGTAATAGTAAAGGGTTAAAGGACTTTTCTCAAGGACGGGTCAGCGTTAGTTGCTGAAGTTAAGGTCATAAGCCCACTTCTCTGAGGCCCGAGCTATTTCCGCTTGAACATACCAACACTTGGCTCCTAATTCCTGCTTTCACAACTTTTGTCCTGCTTTACTGATAAACAAGGAACCTGAGGAGAAGGTTTTAGTTCCAGGGATTATCCCTCCTCTGCTGCTGTCAGCATCACATGACTCCTCCTCAAAGGCTGGAATGCTAAGCGGTCAGAAGGCAGACAGGAAAACCATATTTCTCACTTTATTGTCCTTTGTGAAGTTGTTTTTGCAGTAAATTGCCTTACCAAAACTTCCCCTCCCCTGTTCATCCGTGCGTGAGCTATTTAAAGTACTTCATCTTTTGCCTGCTCCCTGCGTCTCTTGTTTTCTCTCATTCTGACCCGTTCTCGCTCTCTCGCTCTCGCTCTCACTCTTCCTCTCTAACCCTATCCTTGCTGTCTGTGTCTTTCTATATAAGGAAAACTATGCCAGTAAGACAGAGGAGTTCACAACAGTCAGAGAGAAGCTGCCTGAGCAAGATGTTTATTTGGCTGGAGTCAGCCTCATCTGCATAAGAGGAATTATTTTACTCAGAAATTTATATATAAATATATATATAAACAATATGACTTTACAAAACACTTTGTGACTATTGCGTAGATGCATGCAGGCATAGCCAGGGGGCAAGCCACATCATAACTGCCTTATACCCACTCAACAGGTTGTGTTAGTCATTTCAACATCTTATACTCCACTGTGGATAGCAGAGCAGCCAAGTGTATCAGACTCACAGTAGCTGACTTTATATTATTGCGGAATAACAGAAATACAATCCAAACACAGAAAAATTCCTACCTCCGTCAGCTTCCAGGATTCCCTGGAGGTATTTGAAGGAGCCGGACTGTTTGGGTTCAGAGGCAGGCTCCTCGTAGTCCTGCAGCATCTTGTAGACGTCTGACTGTGGGTCAAAACCATTACGGCCACCAGGGGACTGTATGGGAGGCTCTGGGCTGAAGGAGACAAGAGAGGCAAGATGTAGTATTAATGCAACGCAATCTGATTAATGGCAACTAGATGACAGATGAAAAAAACATTCATTTTCCTTTAGCAAACAGTCAAGACAACATTGGGGTGATGGGGTGTCGTCTCCTGTATCTAATTTTGCCTCTACATCTTTTACCAGGTGGTGTCATGATGTGATGTTTGACAGAGGCAGGAATGAAAGGAGCTGAAGTAGCCTAAACAAAAAGATAAAAGAACAAATGACAGTTGCCAGACCACCAAGGAAAGAAAAGAAAACTTGAGAAAAAGGCAGCTGAAAGATCTATGGAAATAAATTCCGACAATTTTCGTTCTCCAAACAGACTGTGCAGAGCACATCTTGTATATTTTCCTGTTACTGAGACAGCAGAGACGGATGCGAAGAGGGAGAAACAGAGGTGTGTACTTTACAATCTACATCTGATTCCACAGGCATGAAGTCTTAATCACAACAGCTCTGTGTTATACTTCTGCAGGTTCATCCATCCATCAAGTTATTCCCAAGCCCCACAGGATGGATCACGCTCATTGGATACATTCAAACCTCTGGGAGATGAGCAGGGCTGCTGACAGATGTGTTCAAATCCTGACACACTTTACTGCATGTTTGTCTCCAGACTCCCCTCCAGGAGTCTGAAAGAAGCACTTGCACTGCAGTGTGGAGTGTGTGTGTGTGTGTGTGTGTGTGTGTGTGTGTTTGTGCGTGTATGAGTGTCTGTGAGGGAGAAAGTCTGAGTTAGTGAAAGTGAGACTGAGAGTGAGGGACAGAGACGGGAGATGAGCAGTGTTAAGATGGTGTTTAAATGTGTCCTTGTGTGTGTGTGTGTGTGTGTGTGTGTGTCTGTGTGTGTAAGTGTGCGCTGGGAGTGCTGAGAGAGGATGTTCACCGGGAGACTAAACACACACATTTATTGTCCGCTTGAGGGGATGCACAACAATAAATGGCTTTTCCAGATCACATGGCCATCTGTGCAGTTGTGTCGAGAGACATCCAAAGTGTGCTTGTGTGTCTTTTTTGCTGTGTGTGCATCTGTCGTTGAGTCTTTTGGAGTATCACAATTGACTGTCAGTGTATTTTTACATTAGAAAAATACCTGGTGAGGCTTTAACAATAGAAAGGTTGATGGGTTTTAGAGGCAGTCACTTGAGACGTACTACTATTTCCTTGTGTGATTTTCTCACAGTAATGGTGTGCAACGAGGCCGGTCTGGAAAAACTCACAGAGGGATATTTTGAAAGCCGATACAACTCAACAGTTCCAGTTTACGGTTTAATACCACTGCATAGATAAGGTTCACGCTTTGCTTAATTTGTAAGAAAAAAAATGGCTTCCATTTCATTTTTAAAGTGTTGTTAACTCTATTTTATTCAGTTTTTTTTATTTAATCCAAATTGTATTGTTTTATTGAAGACTGTAATTCCAGATTTCCAAACTAGTCCTGTCAAAAAGTATAAAATGTGTCTGGATTTCAGACCCGTTTGTTTATGTTTTAATCTCTGTTCAATCCTGTACAACACACACTTTGACTGTCTCACCTGTGTGTGGCGCTGAGGCTGAGGCCCCCCATCTTGCTCGGCAGAGATCTGTCTCCATTGCTGCCAGCATAAAGTCCTGCCGGGTTGTTGTACTGAGCGTGCCCGGTTCCGGTTCCGTTTCCGTATCCATAGCTGTGGCCGTTGTTGGGTCTGGAGTGTCCATTATTCAGGTGAGTGGTCTGGGTAGCCTGCGGGGACTGGGGTTCAGGGGTGTACGAAGGTTTACGGCTGTAACCGCCATATCCGCTGGTGATGGGCCGGAAATTCTAAGAAGACAGAAGCAAACAAACAGGAGCGTATTTAAAAAAAAAAAAAAAACAGGAAATAAAAGACAGCCTAAAAGCAAAATACCAGATTTTTATGGTTTAAAATGTACTTAACTACAGAGAAACAGGGGCGTGATGGTGAATGAGAAGAAGCTTGTTACATTAGAGGAGGACTTGCTAATGTTAGGAGGAACAAAGAAGGGTAATGGATTTATTACAGAATGCACCATTACATTTTGGTTCAGGAAATGAGAGTAAAAAGAGGACTGAGATGAGAAAACAAGCACAGCGGTGCCCCTGACTAGAAAACCACAATTCTTCTGAGGCGAAGAGAGTGGTTGGTCCCAAATGAGGCTTTGCAGCAGTGAGGTTTGAGAGAAAAAGCTTTTTCCACTTCATTTCTGCTTTTACCCTCTTTAATAGTAAGGCTTATTAAGAAGGAGCTTGCATTAGATTTCCTGCAGATGTTTCTGTCAAAACAAATTAGCTTATGTGGTGTAAATATTGAAAAAATGTGTTGTTTCTTTTTTTTTCCCTGGCTGCTTCTTCTATGAATTGAATAGTTTATAGAGGCTGACAGAGCTGATATACTGCACAAGATTAAATTATCATCTTTCTGACATGCTGGAGCAGACTGTCTGCATTCTTGCCATATAGTCACTCTCTGCCGGGACTGTTTAGAAGAATCTGCTGGACTAATGCGGGACAGATGCACAGGCACCTACACTTACACCACTGTATACTCAGTGAGTGTGTTTATCCTGAGGTCAACGCCCTTTTCATGCATTTGCAAAAAAAACTCCACAGTGACATCATCGAGCAGCTCAGTGTTTACCACGGCTATCAGCAAACCCAAGTGATAACGCCAAGTGCCAGCCCGGCTCGTCTGGCTTAGACACTGAACTTCACAGATAAAGTTTTATTGCGTGTCTTGCAGTGATGTCGCGCATCTCTGATAGAGTGTTAGTGCTTTGAATTTTAGAGATAGCCAGCAGTTTTGTCTGAAGAAACAGGGCTGCACATGATCAGAGGTTTGGACTATAAACATTTCAGCTGAAACGAAGCGACTTGTTTACAAGTTAAGCAACGCAGCGGGATGAGAAAGGAGTCACTCTCGGTCAGACTGTTGTAACTATGAGCCGCCAGAAAGAGTGTGCGTGTATGCACGTGTGTGAGAGTGCGTGTGTGGCTGTGTGTTTTGGGCTAGTTTAAAGTGCCTTAGCCACAGGAGGTGGGGGTTCACAGCCTCTCCAGACAGGACCCCTGTCATTTCAACAGATGGGTCTGCTGGATGTCATCCTGCCCTCGCCTGGACCACACACACACACACACACACACACACACACACACGTCTTCTGTAATCAGCACTTTTCAGCATGCTGGAGACCTCCTCTTCATGTACACCAACAAGCCCACATCTTGAACCTGGGAAAGTGCCCTGTCATTGCCCTGCCTCCTGCAGTTAAGACAGATGACTTTCAAGAAATATAAAACCGCCTCTTCCTGCTCTTCCAGAAACCTCAGGCTGTAAAGATGGATGAATCCAGAACATACTAGCAGATAGCCATTCATGGTTAAAGTTTGGAGAAGGAGGCTGGGGAGTCAGCACTCAATGTAGCTTCACCCCAAGAGCCAAACCCTGTTTTGGCAGGATGTCAGAAACACCCAGCTCTCTGTGGCTTCCTCTCCAAGTAAACCAGACACTCTGAAGCTTGGTTCTCACCACAGGACCGAACAGGCCAAACCAGATCCTACTTATTATCTCTAGACCTATTTGCACAGATGGTGGACCTCATGTGATTTTGATTAAAAATTCCCTCAACTACAACATTTTGTGAAACATATCGAGTTTGTAAAGAATAACATTTACTTCTGATTAATAATAGTAACTACAGGTAGGGTGCAAGGACAGCTGAAGATGTGGCGCTGGTGTTAAATGCAGACGCCCTGTTTCTTTGGATCTGGGAGGAACATTTTCTGTGGTGCCCTTTTGAACTAAGCTATCTTTTATTTCACTGCCAAGTCATCTTTTGTCTTTCAATTTCCTGAGCACATGCCCAGAACAGGAAGGGTGAAGTTTTTCAGAACAAATCACTGTCTTTACATGTCTTTTTAGTCTTAATGCAAATCCATTATTCATTCCTCATAGTTAGACAGGGGCTAAATCTTTAGATAACACCCAGTACAATAACTGTATCACAGTCAGGCAAGCTTACTCATGCCTGTGTTCAGAGAATAAAGGAGGCAAGTGAAGGGAAATCCCTGAGAGTGTATTATATTACACGCTCCTGCAGTGGCAGGACAGTAAAGACATTACATTTATGACTCCTGATCTGTACAAACACGACATGTGAAGGAGGACAAGCACTCACACGCTAACCTATATGGTGATATAATTAAAACAGAAATAAATGTCGGAGAATAAAAAAACATTATGATCTTGTTTTATGACTCAAGGGGAATTGAACCTGAAGAAGAAATCAAATTAGTTTTATTTGCATAGCCCCAAATCACAAATTTGTCACAGACAATCAACAATTTGAACAACACAAGACTCTCTATCCTTAAACCCTCAGTTCAGATAAGGAAAAACTACAGCCAAAACAGGAAAAAAAAAGAAGGGGAGAACCCAAAGGGAAAGGCACCAGAGGAGGGAATTTTAGTGGATAACTGGAAGAGGTTGAAGAAGTACTCTGATCTTTTACTCTTTTACCAAAATGTTACGGTTGGAGATGAAGACTATGTTTGTAAATAATCAAAAACCAAGTTGCAGGACATATGGTCACAATCTCCCCTTCCTGAGTTACGGCATGGAACAATGGCCACCAAAATCTAATAAGTTCATTCTGAGTCCAAGTGGACATTTGTGTCAAAGTTGAAGGAATTTCCTCGAGAGGTTCCTGAGGTATTGCGTTCACAAGGCCAGAACTGCGTTCCGTGAGGCCACCGTGACCTTGACCCGTTGACCGTTGACCACCAAAATCTAAATCAGTGCATCCTTGAATCCAAGTGAATAGTGGAGTTTTTGAAAAGTGTAACAGCTCTAATACCTCACAAACAGAAAGAAAAATCAATCCTAGAAGAGGCACAATGGTAAATTCCCTCACTCCCTGCAGTCCCCATTCCGGTGAATGAAAGACTTTGTTAACCATCATACCCATATCTGTATCTTGCCAAGACAAATGCACCTGTTAAAAGTGTAAAAAATGAGGATTTTGCACCTGAATACCACTGCTTTAGGTAGATTTCCCTGTTGTCAGCAGTAAACACATGTTCACCCATTTTCACCCTCACACTCCTCCCTGAGATGGTGTGACTCCTTCTGTTCCCCCGCCCCTCCCCGACCATTCCTTTTGTCTTTCTCTCCCATAACCCTCTTCCCTCTCCGGCTTTGCATGTCTGTAGCCCAGATATTTGCTTTGGGTGGATGGCAGATTTATAAGGCAAGCACATCTGGTGCTTGCCTTATAAAAATGCCAGTTTGGTAACATTCAGGACTTGTAAGTGCTTTCAAGTTGCTCTGAAGGTATGGTGGCTTGGTTTTTTTTTTTATTACAAAAATCAGCTGTAAGCCAACTGTCTCGTTAAAAAGATTTATTTTACCTTTCGACGTCTGAACTGCATACAGGCTTAATGGCGATTCTGTGTGGAGGTGACAGTCACGTTAATCTGGTGGATGCCTTATCACCCCAATTCCCCTGGTAACCTTATCTTGTTTTCCCAATGTAGACAAAACAGTTTAAAATTAATACGAGCAGCTTCAGTCCATCTCCAACAGGAACTCAACATAACAAGGCTGTTGAAAAAGGCCATCTGTGAGATCATCTATTTCCTAATTTCTCTCTCTTGAGAAAGGATACTCTTTCATTTTCTCCCAAATCTTGACTGCATTCCTCCTGGCTCAAAGGACAAGAAGTTTGAAATGTGAGTAAAAAAAAAGAAAAGAGAAAGAACAAAACCCAAAAGCAGTAACTAGAGTATTTATGAGAACCAGCATTGTCTACCGCTGTGTACTCATAAATTCAGGTTGCCATCTGATTGCACTGACCTGTTTTACAATGGTAACAAAGCATGGCTAATGGTTCAGGATGACTGATCATGCATGTATGTATGTGCAAAAGAAGGAAAGAAAGACACAAAGAGAGACAGATAAAGGGGACAAAAGTTTATTTTTACACGTACATTTACCTCTGTATGTGCTTATACACTGTGTTATATTGAACTGTGGTGCTTCCAGCCAAGAGGAACCAAGTCCCTCCATTCATCAACCTGACAAAAAGGCACTCTGATTAATAAGGGCTTGAATGGGAGAAGACTGCAGTTGCAGTTTCAGCTCCGGTTCCTCAGTCCGCAACCGCAGTTTGGTCAGAGAAGGGTAGATGGGGGGGGGGGGGGGGGGGGGGGGGGGGGGGGGGGGGGTTTTTGAGGGGGAGAAAAAGGTGGAGGACCCTAATTGAAATCATATGCTCGTCTTTAACTGAGGACCGAGACCTCAGCCTGCCTGCCTCACCAGAGACACATACACAAGTTCATGATAACACACACACACACACACACACACACACACACACACACACCACCTCCTTCTCTTCTGCCTCCTGCATGGTTTAATCCCTCTGGACCTTCGAAATTAAGCTTTTCACATGGCGCTCTGCACTGCTAACCAAACACAAACCAGCCCTTTATGGCTCCCTGGGTCTGGCCCTGGGTGCCTCGCTGGGAGGAGAGACAGACGGGCTGCAGAGGAGGTGGCTGACAGCTGAGGTGGAGTGGGGGTGCTCTGGGGAAGATTAATGTAGCAGTGGAATCCTGGGTTCTAATGTGTAAAAATGTGTAAATAAAGCCATTCAACTTTTTCTTCCATTTTGCCAAGGTTTGAATGAAATGTGTTGTGATGTAGCCAATTACAGTGCTATGATACAGCCCTAGGGTTTCAGGTGACAGCACTTTAATTATTTGGTTTGGAGTGGATATATGCTGTAGGGAAAAGCACCTGTGTT